AATGTTTTGACCCCTAAAACCCCCTAAACCCTCGTAATTAAACCATAATAGAACATACTTAACCCAAACATAAATGATATAAAGAAAAAATAATTTTGAAAAAGTGACATTTTTGTAAAGATTTCAAAAGTGTGGTATTTTTGTAAAGTGGCACTTGAAAAATGGCATTTTTTGAAATTTTTCAAAAAAAAATTACATTCTGATTAAATTTCATTTTAAAATAAGAAGAGATTACTTATTGGTTCTTTGAATGGATAACTGAAGAAGCTTTCCCAGGAGCATAATAAAATCCCACTAAAAAGCTGAACTTAAAGTTCATCATAGTGTTTTAGTGCCTCTAGCTTCCTTTGTAATAATGTAGCCATGTTTCAAGTAAGGAGGTAGAAAAGTAAACAACATACATAAACAAATTGCAAAATTCTCCATCTTTCATTAAAATCATGACAATGCAAAGGGATTTAACTGTAATTAATTCCTAAGTTAATGTTTTTGGGTTATATATTCGAAATAAATGGGGGAAAAATCAGAACTGACAGCATGTGAAAGCTCCACGTGTAAAAGGGTGGCACTAGCCACTGACGTGAACTTACCGTACGCAATTGAGAGTATGGTCCCCACAAAACCATGTGATTATTACACGTGTCATGTCTTTTATTCGGTTGGCCCTGAGACCATTCCCACCGTTGACGGCCGTCTTATGGACCATTCTCTCAATTACCACCTCCATGGTTACATGTTCTATTGTTCCCTGTTACGTCACTTTCTCCTTTTTTTATGCCATTAATTTCACATAAATTTTTATCAAAAGCATAATCAAATTTATTAAGGAGTATGGATTAGCAACGTCGAAAATTACACTCTATTATAGGTTGAACGTAGACACACAAATCCTTGTAGATATTTTTTTTCTTAATGTATGATGTGTTTGCCTCTACAATGCAATCAAGTGTTCTCATTGATTAGTTAAAACACCCAACACAAAAAGTGGGTTCATTGATTCCTTTTTTTCTAATAATAGAAGACAGTAAATGAAAATGGTGTCATATCATATAACTTATAAGTCATTAAAGTTATTTAGGCAAAAAAAAAAAGTCATGAAAGACCATGTCTTTTTTACGATAACCTTTGTCTCTTTGTTTTTTGCGAATTAGTAGCCTTTAGCAAAACCATGTTTATCGGCCACTTTAGTTTTATATCTGTTAGTAGTTTTGATTGTTTTAAGTTGATAATCAAAAATTTAATATGATAAAATGAGGGAACTATATACGCGATAAATATACACATAAATTTGTCGATATGAAAAAGATGGACCAAAAAATGTGAATTGCCATAAACTGCTACGAGGTTGCGAAGAGACGACTCTCGTACGCATAAGGAGCACTTAGAATTTGAAACAATATCAGAATTATAGTTAATTATTTTCTGCTTTCTTCCATTGATTAGCATTTTGGCTACAAGTACAAGTTGTTAATTTGGGAACAAGAAAGAATACGTACGTGTTTTAGTCTTTTTATTAGATGATCAGACCATATAGTGACCTTCTTGTTATGAGTGGGCGAGTACGAACGAACCAATAAAATTTGCGTGGTTGAAGACAGCCTGGACAATGCATACGTGTCGTCTAAGCATGAAAGTTAGCGTTTTTCTGTTACCATCGTCCGATCTTGAAAGTGAAGCGTACGGTCAATTGTGGTCCATCCACGTGTCCACCTTACCCAACACCATACGGTCCATACGTATACCTTGCCGTTACGAGTCTGTATTGTATTTACACTTTAATACTTTACGTACGTGTCTAATATTCCTTCTACTATTATCTTATATAAAATAATAACATTTTTCAAAGTTGAAGTGATGAGAGGCTGTCATGTGTTACATTCTTTTGATATTTGTTTTCAGTTTATTTATTAAAAAAGAAAAAGAATTTATATGTCATTTCTTTCATAACTTTGACAATTAATTCCGATAATTCAATGGTTAATTTCTAATGTAAATTAATTTCAACAAATTACAATTCAGTGTCTTGTGTATATTTATGTAATTTTTATATAAATTTACGTATAGAAAATATGTATTTTTATTTATCAAATTTAACAATATACTATATAAAAACGTTTAAAACTTTGGTTTTTATATAGGTAACTTGATCTTAAATTAAAAAATCACAAAGAGAAGTTT